TCAGGAGAGGTGTGTGTCAGGGTTGTATCCTTTCACCATACTTATTTAATCTGTATGCTGAGCAAATAATGTGAAAAGCCTGGTGGTGCAGTGGTTAAGCATTTGGCTGCAGTTCGAAACCACCAGCCGCACCTTGGAAACCCTATGGGGCAGTTCTACTCTGTCCTATAGGGTTGCTGTGAATTGGAACTGACTCAACAGCAGCAGGTTAGGGACTACATGAAGAATGCGGCATCAGAATTGGAGGAAGATTCATTAACATTCTGTGATATGCAGATGACACAACCTTGCTGAAAGAGAAGAGGACTTGAAGCACTTACTGAAGATCAAAGACTACAGTCTTCAGTATGGATTACACATCAACATAAAGAAAACAAAAATCCTCACAACTAAACCAATAAGCAACATCATGATAAACAGAGAAAAGATTGAAGTTGTCAAGGATCTCATTTTACTTGGATCCACAATCAATGCCCATGGAAGCAGCAGTCAAGAATTCAAACGACGCATTTCATTGGGCAAATCTGTTGTAAACAACATCTTTAATGTGTTAAAAAGCAAAGATGTCACTTGAAGGACTAAGGTGCGCCTGACCCAAGCCATGATATTTTCAGTCTTCTCATATGTATATGAAAGCTGGACAATGAATAAGGAAGACTGAAGAAGAATTGATGCCTTTGAATTATGGTGCTGGAGGAGAATATTGAATATACCATGGACTGCCAGAAGAATGAACAAGTCTGTCTTGGGAGAAGTACAGCCAGAGTGTTCCTTGGAAGCGAGGATGGCGAGATTTCCTCTCAGGTACTTTGGACACGTTAGCAGGAGGGACCAGTCCGTAGAGAAGGTCATCATTCTTGGTAAAGTAGAGGGTCAGCGAAAAAGAGGAAGACCCTCGAGGAGATGGATTGACACAGTGGCTGCAACAAGGGGCTCAAACAGCAATGATTTGTGAGGATGGCACTTGACGGGGCAGAGTTTCGTTCTGTTGTGCACGGGGTCGCTATGAGTCGGGACTGACTCAACCCACCTAACACAGGCTATCACATGGCAACACTTCACTGGCGATGAACAGAGTCCAGGCTTCTCAAGAGTTAACCCAGAATGCTCCTCTCAGAATGTTTAACTTGGAGAGTGACATGATCAGATCTGTGCCTTGGAAAGAAACCAGAGTGGAGCTTTCCCCCACGAACCTACTTGCTGAACTTCTTGCTTTGGGTCGTAACGGAGTTTAGGTGCTGTGAATGTGGAATCGTGATATCTGGTTGCCTGACCGATTAGGTCAGCTATTCGAACAGAGTACCTTAAAGTGAGGTAATCAGATCAGCCTCATCTGCTTCACCTGGGATCTGGTTAGAAATAACAGTTCATGAGCTCTACCCCAGTATCCCTGAATCTGGTTCTCTTTGGTTTGGACCCGGGAATCTGTAATTTAACAGGCCTCTAGGTGATTCCTATGCCTATCAGATTTGAGAACCACTGCTATCACGAATAGAGATGTCTCTGAGGGAATAGCCTCAGGCTTAGGTTTACAACAACCCAGGGCAGGTGAGAGTGTGAACTGGGCCTACAGAAGACGTTTCTGAAGGTTTGTGTTTAAATGAGAACGTATGGTTCCAGAAGAGAAGAAATAGTAGATAAGGCAGCTCTTTGAATTCTTGAGGAAATGGAATTCTTGAAATGTGAGTGAATCAGATGATTCATTTGGGAATGTAATCATGTTTATTTTCTCTAGAAGAAAAGAAGTTCTATGGAAACTTTAATATTTTTGCTTTTCCATCTTCCATCGGGATCCAGCCTGTGAGACACAGCACACTGGTGGCTGCAGAAGTGACACTAGCAAGAGGGGTTTCTCACCATGGAGTCAGTTGCTCACGTCGGCATTGCACTTTACAAAGTGTTGACACATCTGTTCTCATTTAAACCTCTCAAAGACCAACTACCACCACCACCGGGGCCTCTGCCACCGTCATTGTCAAACCACACAGCATTCATTATCACCTCGCTCTCGAGAAGAAGTAACTGACCAGGCAGGCGAACTGCTTTGTCAAGGCCTGTTTCCTTGCCCATGAGACTGTGTGGACTTCTCTTAATTAGAACTTGTCCTCTTTGGTTTTTAAAATCCCAGTACTTCTTCCTTTGCCACCTCTCTTAAGGTAAAGCAAACCATGGGATCTCCCCAGTTGTCCCTTCCTCCCTCACATCACCACTTCCTCATTCCTAAAGATAGTCCCGTGCCATGCATTGCACAGGGAAGCCCAGGAGTTTAGTTTTCTGCCCATTTTGTCAGGGTCTCTCCAAATGCCCGCAAAGGACATATTTCCAAGGAGGCTTTAGAGAAACCTACACAAGAGTATGGAAAGCCTGCATTCTCCTTCCACCCTAGTCACTTACCTGCTGTGTAAACCTTTCCAGACCTCAGTTTTCTGTCTGTAAAATGGAAATATCATGGCCTGCTTCACACTCTCGTGTGAGGTTTATAATATTCTGAACGTGAAGCACCGACCGCAGGCCTGGCACACAGGCGGTGTCCAGTAAACGTTACCTATTAAATTCCCTCCCTCACTCGTCCCATGCTTTTGTTCTCTCTTCCTCTCTTCTTACACAGCAAGAATCCTGCACATGTTTTTAGCAGCTCTGCCATCCTAGGAAATTTGAAAGGCCCCTTCTCTTTGTTTCCTTGAGGGCCTATACTAACTGGTATAGGGCTGTGGTTCTCAGAGTGGCTCCCAGACCATCAGCATCACCTGGGAACTTGTTAGTGCAGACTCTCAGGCCCTGCCCACACCTCCGAATCAGGGACTCTGGGGGTTGGTCTAGCAGTTGTGTTTAACAAGACCCCCAGGTGTCTCAGCGCTGACTCCAATCCAGCCTGAGGCCTCTGGTATAGAGTAAGGTACGGGCTCTGGAGCCAGCTTGCTTGGGTTTAGTTCCTCTCCCACTTCTATTAGTATGTGGTCTAGAGCATGTGAAGTGACATTTCTGGGCTTTCGGGTCTGTTGACGGGGGTTAGGAGCGTCTACCCCAGAGGGCTGTTGGGAGGATTAACTGGGGCATTTCTGGGAAACCCTGAGAGTATCTGGAGTGCGGTGCTCGGCCGCAAGCTTGGCTCACGCTGGGGTCACCTGGTCAGTGTTTTTTCTTTTTAAATTGTACTTTAGACGAAGGTTTACAGAACAAGTAGTTTCTCATTTAAACAGTACACATACTGTTTTATGACAATGGTTAACAACCCCATGACATGTCGACACTGTCCCTTCTCGTGCTTGGGTTCCCTGTTACCAGCTTTCCTGTCCCCTCCCGCCTTCTAGTCCTTGTCCCTGGACTGTTGTGCCCCATTAGTCTCCTTTTGGTTTATGGGGCTGTCTAATCTTTGGGTGAAGGGGGAACCTTGGGAGTGACTTCACTACTGAGCTAAAAGGGTGTCTGGGGGCCATACTCTTGGGATTTCTCCAGTCTCTGTCAGGCCAATAAGTCTGGTCTCTTTTTGTGAGTTAGAATTTTGTTCTCCATTTTTCTCCAGCTCGGTCCAGGACCATCTGTTGTGATCCCTTTCAGAGCAGTCAGTGGTGGTAGCCGGGCACTATCTAGTTGTACTGGACTCAGTCTGGTGGAAGCCGTGGTAGTTGTGGTCCATCAGTCCTTTGGACTTATCTTTCCCTTGTATCTTGTTTTCTTCATTCTCCCTTGCTCCGAAGGGGTGAGACTAGTGGAGTATCTTAGATGGCTGCTCACAGGCTTTTAAAGACCCCAGACGCTACTCACCAAGGTAGAACGTAGAACATTTTCTTTATAAACTGTGTTATGCCAGTTGAGCTAGATGTTCTCAGAGACCATGGTCTCCATAATCCTCTGCCCAGCAATTCGGTTCCTCAGGGAGTTTGGATGTGTCTGTGGAACTTCCATGACCTTGCCTTATACAAGCTGTGCTGGCTTCCCCAGTATTGTGTACTGTCTTACCCTTCACCAAAGTTACCACTTATCTATTGTCTATTTAGTATTCCCCTCCGACCCCTGCCATCCCTCACCAACAAAGATTGTTTCTTTTTGTGTATAAACATTTTCATGAGTTTTTACAGTAGTGATCTCATACAATATTTGTCCTTTTGTGATTGACTTATTTCACTCAGCATAATGTCCTCCAGTTTCACCCATGTTATGAGATGCTTCTCAGATTCATCATTGTTCTTTATCGTTGCATAATACTCCATTGTGTGTATGTACTATAGTGTGTTTATCCATTCTTCCATTGATGGGCATCTAGGTTGTTTCTGTCTTTTTGCTATTGTGAACAGTGCTGCAGTGAACATGGGTGTGCATATGTCTATTCGTGTGACGGCTCTTATTTCTCTGGAATATATTCCTAGGAGTGGGATTGCTGGATCGTATGATATTTCTATTTCTAGCTTTCTAAGGAAGTGCCATATCATTTTTCAAAATGGTTGTATCATTTTGCATTCCCACCAGCAGTGCATATGATTTCCAATCTCTCTGCAGCCTCTCCAACATTTGTTATTTCCAGTTTTCTTGATTTGTGCCAGTAAAGCCGAGGTGAGAGTCACCTGGGCACGTTTAAAAAACACTTGTGAATCTGTAATTCTTCCAAAATACAAAGCTTAACATTAAAAAAAGAAAATACTGATGCCTGGGTATCAGTTGAAGATGTTAACAGCAGACTCAGCAAAAATCAGTGTTAGAGACCCAGGAGGAAACTTGCTTCTGCAGATGCTGCGGACAACAGGAGGTGGAGTCTCAGATTTTCTAAATGTCTCTTTGAGGGCATTGAGCTCCACCCCATCATTACACAGGTCGGGAAACTTGAACCCAGAGACATCCCCCAGCTCTTTCTGCTCACTCTCAAGATGAACAGAGTTCCCCTTCGGGACAATGCGCCATAATTGTCCGGGGTCCCATAGCTGGATGAGGGTGAATAAAAGTCCCCAGAAGAAGAGCTGAGAGAACTGCTCCAGCTTGGGAAGTTCAGCAGGGGCTGAGCGTGGAAATACTCTGGGATGGGTATAGACTGTCTCCTGGGTTGGAGACATACTGGACACTTTCCTGGACCAGAGGAGGCAAGAGTCCCAGCCACACCCTGGACCTGGCGCAGCAGCATTGACAGAGCCACTGAGTATGGCAGTGGGTCTTGCAGCCTCCCTCCTTCGCTCCTGAGGACCAGAGGGACAGATGTTGGGGTGGGAGAGGAGACAGCAGACAGGGCTGTCAAGGAAGTGCTGCAGAGGCTTTTCTCAAAGTTGTGTGACCCCCGTTCCATCTTTCCGTGGACTCTTGAACCCCACTGGACCCAGCTTGCATCTGGAGGAGGGGCTGGGGAAGGCACCCATGGAGGGAGTGAGGTGTCTTGCAAGGTCCCGGAGCCAGACCAGAGTGAGCCCGGGCCTTGGGACCACGGCGGCCTTTGGGCAGCAGCAGTTTGAGACCGAGATGTTTCCTCTCCATTGTGCTCTGGAGCAGAGCTACAGTATGTGTCTATTTAAATGGAAAGCGATTAAATGCAATTGAAAATTCAGCTCCGCAATCCCGGGAGGCAAGCTTCCAGCACTCAGAAACTCTGATGTGGCTCCTGGCTATCGTATTACACAGTGCAGACAGAGCATTTCCCTGCCACCCCCGTGGCTGGAGGGGCCAACCCTCTGCCTCCCTCTGGACCTGCTCAAGCAAGTGCTGACCTGTGAGGCTGTGCTCACCTGCCTTCTCAGGAAGTCTCTCCCGATCCCCCTGCCCCCACATATTCACCACTCCTTTTCTAGGTCCCCACCCCCTTGCTTGTGCCTCTATTGACCCCTGAACTTCCTCTGGCACCAGGGTTTCCAGGCCATGCCTTTGCCCCTGAGCAGACACTGGGCTGGAGTTGGGGACCCAGGTTTTGCATTTGAGCCTTTCTTCGCTGAGCCCCTACTGTAGACACGGGGCGCTCCAGTAAACACGCATCACGATGAATTAACGGTGGATCTTGTGTGCCTGCTTTTTTACTAAAAATGGTTTCTTTTGTCAGCTTTTCTCACTTCCTGCCCAGCTCAGCCCCAAGTGGCGGGATGTAACCTTGGATGAGTGAAGTCGTCTTGAGGAGCTAGGCTGTGGGCGCCTCCCTGTGGACAGACCCCCTCACCGCCTGGCGCCATGGTGCCCCTGCTGAATTGGTTGCTTTGTGTGATCAGTATGTGGGGTTCATGTTTAGGGCCTTGTCTAAACTTAGTTGTCAGAAGTTTTTAATTTTTTCATTGCTGGCACGTAGCACAATGCTATCCCCTCTTGTGAAATTGTTTACATACCCTCTTTTTATTTGTTGTTCTAAGTGTCCTTCTTGTATTGCAACATAATATTGAAGCCAGGTCCTCAAGTCCCAATGTGGGTGATACAGACAGTTACATAAAGGAGATTTGAAACTAACAAAAAATACCAAAGGCAGAGAGGATTGTTTTCATTATTGCATATTTATACAAAAGTACTTAAGTATAATGTTTTTTAGTATATAATGTTAAATGTTAACACTACAGAACTTGAATAATGAAACATTCTACTAAGAAAGAAATACTGCTCATGAAGGTTTGCATGCCCACCGTGCCCAAGTCAGAGTCCCTCGTTTGTGTCGCAGAAGCAGGGCGGGAGGGGGTTGTACGCCGCATACAGGCTGCACTCCTCACACAGCTGGACGGTGGCAGAGGACACAGGGGTGACAGACTCGGCCTGGGTGTCAACGGCTGAATTATTATTCTTCAAGGGCCCAGCAACACAGGGCTTTGCAGCTCTTAAGAAAAGACATACACAGAGCATCAGATTAGAATTTTTTTTTTCTAAATCCGTTTGTTACAATTTTCAGGGGTATCTGGGAAGTTTAGGGCTGGAGCCAATCAAACATGTGACACCAGCCCTTGATTGAAGCTCTCAGCCCCTGTCCCAAGTGTCTATCTAATCCCTTTGTCTCCTAATGTTATAAACATAAAACCAGGCACCAGCAAATAAGCAGCAGTGACTTGCAAGCATGGGCCACCCAGCTGGTCCCTGCAGGCCCACGAGGTTTCAGCATGCCCAGGGAAGGTGCCCCCATCCGCTGTGGCCTGGACTCTGGGGTCTGCCGTCTAACTCACAGCCTTACTGTGAGCATGAGTGCTTCCAACTACCGCTCTCCCATCTCTGAAGCTTCCTCTCCCCAAACTTTAATTATCTCTTGTCTGACCTACACCCCTTGTCGGGTGTTCCCCAAGGATCTTCACACAGTTTAGCTTTCCCATAGGCCTAGAGGCCCACCTCACTGTCCCCAAGGCAACCAGCCCTGAATGAGAGAGCTCCTGAGAACTCCCCGACTCAGGCAAGAGATCAACTCAATATTGCCCATCATCTGAGGGAATAAGGCAGAAGCTCATTCACTCCATCTCCCAAGATTCTTCAGTCTACAGGGTCCAGGACAGAGGGGCTCAGTCCAGGTGCTGAATTAAATGCTTGCTGTTTTTAGTTGCCGCTGAGTCAATTCCAACTCAAGGTGACCTCATGTGTGCAGAGTAGAATGGCTCCGTAGGGTTTTCAAGGCTGTGACCTTTCAGAAGCAGGTTGCCAGGCTCCTCTGGGTGAGTTTGACCTACCAACCTTTTGGCTAGCAGTCGAGTGCTTAACTGGGTGCACCACCCAGGGACTCCTCAAACTCTTGAAGGGAAACTCAGTGTATTTGAAGTCATTTAAATAACCAAAGCAGCGCTAACTCACAGAGCCACCAGGATGAGAACATTCTCTTCATAAGTTCACAATTCCAAGCTAGCACAGAAAAAAGCCAAGATTCTAACTAACTCGTCCTTGCTTTTTCAAACCCACCTGCCGTTCTTGACTTCACCCAGAGTGTGGTCACAGGGCAAGGAGTGGCCTGCTCGAGCAGAGAGCACCCAAGTGTCCCATTTGAGGAGTATTAGTTACTGTTACCCACGTGACTCACTTCCTTGCTCTGGTCACTTTGAAGTAAAGACCTATGACAACACCTGTCAGCACCAACGCCGTAAGCAGCAAGCAGCTACCGACGATGATCATGATCATGGTCTTGTGGTCAAACATCTCACACACACCTAGGCAGAGAAGGGCAGGCAAGCAGTGAATGCGGCTTCCCTCCCAACACAGCCACTAAAAACAAAAAACCGTTGCTATGGAGTCCCTTCCAACTCCCGGCGACCCCATGTGTGTCAGAGTAAAACTGCTCCATAGGGTTTTCAAAGGCTGGTTTTTTCAAAGTAGTTCACCAGGCCTTCTTCCAAGGCGCCTCTGAGTGGACTCGAACCTCTAGCCTTTTGGTTAGCAGCCGAGTGAATTATTCATTTGCAACACTCAGGGACTCCAACACACCCACACCCACTTGGCAACCTCGATATACTTCTTTCCGTGGAGGAAGAATGAAGCCCAGACTATGATCCTTTAGTGTGTAACATGAGCCAGTCTCCACAGGCAGGCCGGGCTGGCCTAGGGGTGGGCAAAGGGTGTATCCATGGATAAGAAAGGACTGAAGTACAAAATCCAAGGAGAAGGAAAATTAGAGGAGAGGAAGTGGGAAGAACGTCTGTCTCTTTTTCACCTGGGTCATGTACAGCTGGAAGGAAAAAGCAGGCTTGCGCTTGAGCTGACGGTTTCACTTACAGATCCCTGGCCTCCGGAAGCGCATTCACTGCCGGAGTCAGGAGTCAGCACTGACCCCTTGCTGTACATGCAGCTTAAAGCTCTCCCATGGGAATGAGTAAGGGAGTGACTTTATTCAAAATGTTATACCCAAGACGCTGACAATATGCAAATCCATTTTGTAAGTGATGCATGTTTGAGGGAAAAAAGGCTTTCAGTTCTCCCACTGATAGCTAGGTCATACTACCTCAGGGGTTTAAGGAGATTCCGGAGCTTCCAGCCAAATCCCTTCCTCAGGCTGTCAGGAGTCACCTGCCAGACCAGGTCTCCAGAAGGCCCTTGTCCCCCATTCTGTCTTTCCAGCAGGCCACAGGCCTTCCTCTGCCATTTTCCCTTCTAAATGCAGAATTCTTCCTGGGAATCTGAGTTGTCTGGAATAAGCAGTTTGTTTAATCTAACACTCTGAAACAGGGAAAGTGGGCTAGATGAGAACACACTGACTGCTCAGCCTACTTACCCACAGTTAAACAATCCAGAGCTGGGGGAAGGCCAACTGCAAAAAGGAACTAAAATAAACTTCAGGGAGCAGGATATTTTATAAGGAATTTCTTAGACCTGTATTGTGAAAAAGAAAGTTCTAATCATCCCTGCTAGGACTAATTATCATTAAGATTCAAGGTTCAAGAGTTTGCTCTAAGTACAGTCTTCCAGCAGAACTAGGAGAATGGACAGCCACCGTCCAGCTCCAACCTTTATACCAGACAGGACACAGCCTGTGTGACATCAGCTCTCTGAACGTCAGGCTCTTTCACGGAGTTCTGAATTCCATTCCATGTTTAGATGTATTTTAGCCCCCATGGAAACGTAAATACTAGTTTGAGTCACTTAATTCTAATAAGTCTTGTTTCAGGTTTTATTTTCCCCATAGTAACTTTCAGGGTCTGACTGCTAATCCAAAGCAGCTTTTAGATTTCAATTTAAAAAAATAAAAGGAAGAGACAGTAATGTGCGGAGGCTAATACCTAAAAATACCCTTACACCTAAAAGTTCAGTGAGAGAACACAGGTTAGACTTGACGATGAAATTCACAAAATGAAATAATAGGTAGCCATTTAATAGGATTCTAATCTATGTTTATAGACATTGGAAGATTTTCACATTTTATAGTTAAGATGGAGTCCTGTGTGGCACAGGGGTTAAGAGCTCAGGCTGTTAACCAAAAGGTCAGCAATTCAAATCCACCAGCCGCTCCTTGGAAACCCTATGGGGCAGTTCTACTCTGTCCTATATGGTCTCTGTGAGTCGGAATGGACTTGATGGCAATGAGTAAAGTTAAGATAAAAGGGCCACAAGGATAAAGCTGAATAAGATACCTGTTCTAGCCAGGTTTGTATGATTTTAAGGTACTCACAGCCAATCAGGTAAAATTAAATAAGGAGGCTTCCAGTACAGACAAGAAGGTGTAGACTCACTTCTCCCTGCTAAGTACAACTCTAACCCCTAGAAGTAACACAAGGAGAACTCTGAAAGTTGGAAAGAGGAAGGCAAACCGGTTAGGGACCCCAAGTCTGAATGAACAGCACATGGGCAGAACAGAATCCGGTTGATTCATTAACGTTGAACTCACAGCCAACAGTACTATAACTCACGCCTGATCCCAGCCTATGTAACACGTGTATTTTCTCCCTAAGAAGGCACATTTCAGCCTTCTTACACTTAGGAACACCAGACAGCACTTCAGCACTGCACTTGGGGGCCACTTCAAACAGTGCAATCACCAACAAGAAGCACAAAAATGCAAAAACGTGGCGCTAAATAGACCATGAAATGGACACTTGTTTATATCCTGAGAGCTGAAACAAGAAGGCTGGGAACGTATGCATCAGACGACTCAAAGTTTTTGTCATTCTGCACATGTCTGTGAATGACACAAAAGTGTTGCTGGTGCTGACTTTGGGATTACAAAGAAATTTTAGCGAGTAGGAGAATTTTCTGAAACCTTGGTGGCATAGTGGTTAAGAACTACAGCTGCTAACCAAAAGGTTGGCAGTTTGAATCCACCAGGTGCTTCTTGGAAATCGTATGGGGCAGCTCTACTCTGTCCTATAGGGTCACTATGAGTTGGAATCGACTCGATGGCAATGGGTTTGGTGTTTTTTGTTTGTTTGTTTGTTTTTTTAAGAGAATTTGCAAATACTGAATCTGCGAATAATGAGGATTGACTGTACATATGAGCATTTAAAAAATCTGGAATGAGAATGAAATAAGGGAATAAAGCAAAGCAAAGGATCTCAAAGTACATGCATCAACTTATACATAATGATTATTGATGGGTGAATGGGATTGGGGGTTTAATTTTTTTCTTTGTCTTTACTTTCTTGGTTTTTCTCTAAAACATATATTGCTGTATATGCTATTTATGAGTAAAAGTTGCAGGTATAAGTTGTTTATCGGTAAAAATTAAAAGACTCTCACTGTAAGGGCATCAGCCATCAACCAAAGAGAAAAGAGAAAAAGTGTTCCTTTAGGAGTGGAGTTGATTATTAATCATAAATCAGTTTCCATTACAAAGTATTTGTTTCTTTTTTTTGGTGCAAATTTAGTTAAAACTTCTTTTTAAAAACCATCTTTCTTCATTCCCCAAATACTCTCTGCTCCTTTATGAATTTTACATACAGAAATCATTATCACTTCTCTTCCCAAGCACTCTAAGTGGGAGAAACCAATTACTGGTGGCTTACTGTGTCGGGGGCAGACGGGGGGGTAGCCCTGGTGGTGCAGTGGTTAAGCGTTTGGCTGCTAACCAAAAGATTGGCAGTTCAAATCCACCAGCTGCTCTTTGGAAACCCTAGGGGGCAGCATTGGCCTCAGAGCAACGGGTTTGGTTTTGGGATTTTTACCTCGTGCAGAGCTAAATACCATTCAGATTAGCTGTGTGTTTAGGCAGAGATCACCCGTGGTGCATCGAGCCCCACTCAGTGGGGTGTGCCAACTTTCCTCCAGGGCTTCAAATCAGTTAGTTCCAGTTCAAACCCGTGCTGAGAATTTGCATTTCTAACAAGTTCCCAGGCAATGCTAATGCTGCAGATTAGGGACAAATTCTGAGTAGAGCAGTGGGTTCTCAAAATTTATTATACATAAGAATCACCTGGGGACCTTGTTAAACTGTTGATTCTGATTCAGTGTAACTGGGGTGGAAATGCAAATTCTCAGCAGGGGTTTGAACCGGATTGAAGCCCTGGTTGGAACCTTGGACCTTTTGGTTAGCAGCCAAGCGCCTCAGTGAGAATCACCATTAAACGGTACAAAGATAGGAAAAAAGCATCAGAATCTTTTCCCACTTCTCGTAAGTAGAGACTTTGTTCTAATGAGGCTGGGTGAATTCTCAAGCCACACTGGGGAGCCTCTGGGTTCCAAATTCAGCTGCTCCTGCAGGTGGCCGTAACAACCACAGCGATGATGATAATGGCTGACAGGCTGACGGACGACTGTGCATCAGGCACTGGCTCCTATAGATATTCACTCTCCACAGAGACCCTAAGCGGGAAGTAATGTTGTTGCCATCCCCATTTTATTAATGGAGGCAATAACAAATGGGGAAATATCAGAGAGGTTGAGAGCTTGCCCAAGGCCACACAGCTAGTAAGAAAAGGCCAGGAATCGAGCAGTGAGTCTGATTCCAGAGGCAGGCTTCACACCACAAAACTCCCTCAACCCAACCCACTGCCGCCAAGTCGATTCCGGCTCCTAGCGACCCTACAGACAGAGCAGAACTGCCCCACAGGGTTTCCAAGGCTGTAATCTTTATGGAAGCAGACTGCCGCATCTTTCTCCTGCGGAGCGGCTGGTGAGTTTGCACCGCTGACCTTTTGGTTAGCAGCCGAGTGCTTTAACCACTGCACCGCCAGTGCTCCTTACCACAAAACTAGTGGATCTCAAACTTCGTGTGCATTAGACTCAGCAGAGGAGCTTTCAAAAATCCTCACTCCCAGGCAGCATCCCTTACCAATTAGATCACAATCCCCTGAGTGGGAGCCAGGCTTCAGTGTTTTGTATAAGTGCCCGGGGGGGGGTTCCAGTGGGAGCCAAGCTTGAGAACACGCACCACACTGCAGTAACTCTCAGGGCTGCATGAGAACTGCCTGTCAATGCTCTCAACAACCCTCGGTGGCTGCTGGTAGCTGCTGTAGAGTCTGCCCCAACTCCTGGCGACCCCACGCACAATGGGACAAAACTCTACCTGGTCCTGTGCCGTCCCCACGATAGGCTTCTGATCAGACTGTTGTGATCCATAAGGCTTTCACTGGCTGATGTGTGGAAGGAGATCCCCAGGCCTTTCGACCTTTCTTCCTGGTCTGCCTTAGTGTGGAAGCTCCACGGAAACCTGGTCAGCATCATAGCAACACGCAAGCCTCTGCTGATAAATCATTTTACAGACCAGAAAACTGGGATTAAGAAAGGTGAAATCACTTGTCCAAAGTTACACAGCAGGTAAGTGACTAAGGTGGAAGGAGAACTCAGGTTTGTCAAATGCTTGTGTATTTTCTTCTAAGCCATTTTGGAAATATGTCCTCTGAGGACATTAGGAGAGACCCTTGCAAAATGAGCAGAAAACTACAGTCCTGGAGTGCTCTGTCCAATGCAAGGCATAGATTATATTTAAGGATGAGAAAGTGGTGATGTGAGGAAAGAAAAGTGCAACTGGGGCGCTGCTAAGGTTCACTTTACTTACAGCAGGGTGCAAATGACACAGTGACTCCTAACAGACTAGGGTGGAGCCTATGAATTTGCATTTCTAACCAGACTTCAAACAGGTACTTTCTGGTTTGACCCCCTGGTGAGAATTTGCATTTCCACCTCAGATATACTAAATCAGAATCTACATTTTAACAAGATCCCCAGGTAATATGTATAGATAAGAATTACCTGGGGATCTTGCTAAAAATGTAGATGTATATGTAAGAATCGCCTGGGGATCTTGTTACAATGTAGATGCTGATTCAGTACATCTGGCACGGAAAGGCAAATTCTCAGCATGGGGGTAGAATCAGCATGAATTAGTTCAAAGGTCTGATTTCTAACACTCTCCC